ATTCTGGCCAAATCCTTCATGTCTATTCTTCCTGAATTATCCTAATTTTCGACAAGCATTTTCCAGATAGGAAATTGATTTCAAGCTTTATCCACGCCCATCCTTGCACCGGCAGCCACATCCAAAGTCCAGATGGAAGAAACAAAGTGGAAAAAGCAGATGCAGAAACTTAACTTTGAAACTCGTACACATTTTTTTCCCAGCTCACAGTAAAAAGGTACAGGTGTATGCCGTAATAATCCAAGTGGACACCGCTCAATCTTCAGATCTATCTACCATTGTAGATTATGCTGCAAAGCTCCCATAACAATTTGATTTAAATGATGGGTCACCCCACAAAGGTTTTGACGCAGGGCATAAAATTACCCCTTTGGCTTTCAAAGTAGAACGACTTCTCCGGGATGGCGGTCTTGGCATTTGCAGGTGCAGCGAAGAATTTGACGCTCAGAAATCTACTGGTGGCGTTGGAGGAGTGATGCCTGCGGTGGATGAAAATGGTCTGACGAAGATTTGAGGAGGGGAGGAAGAAAAGCGACAATTTTTGAGAGAAGCATTGAATGCTACCATGAACTTCCTAAAAAGACCCTGTCTTTTGTCTTGGAAACCACGCTAACAGACAGATCAAAGAACTTAACGGCTAAATGTAACAGAATGGTCTCGCGTCTCATCTTTATACAGTTTAGTGGTCAAAACCAGACCTTTAAAAGTTGAGTGACCAAAACTCGACGATCGCAAAAGTTTAATGACCAACCGGATAAATTGCTCTAAATTTAAACTTTTCTTTACATCAACAAGTTTAAGCATATGAAAAATAATTTTTATTTTAATTGAATCTCTTTTTTTCATACATGTGACATGCATTTAGGTTGCCAATGAAAAATATTTTACATTGATAGTATAAGAAACATTTTATCCTATCAATGAAAATTCTCCAAAGTGATCAATGTTATGTAAGTTGGATTAGGTAAGACATAAAATTACAATTAAAGTAAACTTAAAGGTAGCATATCAATTACAATCGTGCCTCACAATTATAAAAGAAAGAGTATATTTTTAGTGATTAAATTTGTACAGCTGATCAAACTTTTTAGAAAGGACATTTTTATAGAAAAGAGAATACAAAGAATGCAAATTCATAAGTAATATATAAGTTTTAATAAATCTGTAGATGCGCATGTATCTATTTCAAAATATAATTCAGACATACATTTTGTATTCATTAAAATGCATATTTATATTCAATACCATACACATGTTATGAAGATAATCATTCAGTAATAAATTTTGTAAACAATACACATATACTCGACTTACAAATTTGTAAAAGCTTATATCTTGCTTATAAATTTTCAATCTTCCTATACCTTTTTTTCCCAAAAAAATAGACAGTTGTTTTTGATATAATGTTTAGATATGGTGTTTTTGGAGTTGTTTTAGAAATACATATTTACTGTAGCATTTGAAATGTGAAAAACAGTTTTTCAAAAACAGTCCAAAAAACAAGGGATCCAAACACACCCATACATACATACATATATATATATATATATATATGGCCAAGGCAGGATCGAAAATGAGAACATATTACCATTAATACATGCATGAATCTTACACTTTGTTGGACCGGCCAGAAGACATATAAATACTCCCGCGTATCTTGAAGTAACAAGAAAGCGAGTGTAAGCGGCTCACACAACTAACCACTAACGAACTGTCAACTTTCCTTCTTCCCCATTCTTCGCATCCTTCCCCTTGCTTGCTTTGTCCTTGCTCTTCTACACGGCCCTTAGATTTCACCAACCAACACACACTTGCGGTGAATCCGATTTATGTCAGAGAGAGATTTCAGGAGAGGAGTTCCGGTGAACCGGAGAGTTAAAACCAGACCGCCTCATCCCTCACGGTCACCTTCGCCGTCCCCGTCCCCGGCACCGGCGACTCGCCGGAGGAGAAGTAGTCGTGAAGTTCACCGTCCTCGATCTTCCAAGCTTTCGAGGCGGCTTGAGATTTTTAAGAGATGCAATTCGGAGCCGGCTCTATTGAGAGCTAGAGGAGGAGGAGGAGAACATTTTGGTCAACGGAGTTTGGCTTCGCCGGAGGCTGAGGGAGTATTTTACCGACCTCAGACTTGTGCTGACATCTTCTCGGCATCTTCGGACAATATATTGTTGCCTCGGTCTCCGCGAATATCTTTGGAGGTATCAAGATCAATTACACTGGATACAAGAAATAGTTTGCTAATTTAGTTACCGTTGCTGTTTGTGTTTTATCATTATTTTTATGCCGATAGTTCTGCTTATTGAATGAATATTTTTACTTCCTTTTTTCTTTTAAGATTTGGATGAAATTTATGATACTAATTTAATGCGGTTGATATTTTAATTGCTTATGCGGATGTTAAATACATCTTGTACTGAAATAAGCACTATCATCACTTACATATCCAAAAATGACCAAAGAAAAAAAAAGGAAGAAGAAGAAGATCAAAAGGTGAGGTATGGCTCACCTCGATCAGAGTTGGGTTCTGATATTCGATTGGGACGAATTTGTGAAATGAAAATTATTTCTTAATTTCTGTCTATCGTTCGATAAATAGAATATGTTGAACTGTGAATCTATCATAAGCAGTGAACAAATTCTTGAAGATTGGTTGCTATGTGTGGCCCATATGACTTTAATTGATGATTGCAGGAATGAGATTTGTTTCAGATGCTTGAAATTTGTAGAATCATGTGAATTGGCTAGTGCTCACGTTAAATTTTTATGCAATTCTGTGAAAATATGCAGGACTGTGCCTTAACTGTTGCCAGGGTACCACCTTGATGTCTAAATTGAGTAAGAAATTTGGGTTTGCAGGGAATGCGATACAGCAAGGATGCCAAGGTGGTGGTTAATGTGACAGTTGAGGGAAGCCCTGGACCAATTCGAGCTATGGTCAAATTGGGTTCAAGCGTGGAGGAGACAATTAAGCTTGTTATCGACAAATATGGTGAAGAAGGTCGCACTCCTCGTCTTGATAAAGATGCGACTACAACCTTTGAGTTGCACCACTCCTACTTCAGCCTTCAGAGTAAGTTCAACATATTGACCCCATGCATTCTTTTCTCTACACTAATTTCTTGGTACTTGACTTGTTCCAAATAGGGTGACGTCACAGAAAGGGAAAAACAAACTAGGATACAAGCATGTTTGAAAGTTATTGAGAGATTAATTCAGCCAAAGATGTTTTTGTATGTTGTATGCAATGACAAACAAGAGTATCTTCCACAATGCAAATTTTGATTGTCAGGGATTGGGATTTACATGGAAGTCATAAAATAAGTGATAGAATTTATTTCATCTTTATACAGGCGGGCCAAATTTTGAAATCTGTAGGCTAATAATTTGTCCCTTCAGGTGGCATTGTAAGCCTTTACTGTTGCGACAAGGGTCTGAATATGGTATATACCAAAGGCAACAGTTTCCTTTTGCACGCTCGCATGTTTCTGAGTCTTAGAACCGATTGTTGTGTCTATTATAAAATCTTTAATTTCTTTCTCCAGCTATCTGATTCCGATACAATCGTTTTTATCTTGTATAGGCTTGAATAAACTTGATGCAATTGGGGATTCTGGTAGCAGAAGCTTCTACCTTAGAAAGAATAGCAGCGGTCGAAGTAGTAGTGCCTCATTAACTCCATATGATCTGTCCCGTAATGCGGGCTCTCACCTGCCCGGTTCTTCCTCAATCTGCCTTCAGAGTTTTATTTGTAGGAAGATTAACAAATTCATGAGAAGAATGAATAAGCTTTGGAAGCTCTTGGGCTGCATGAACGGTAACAGATAACTACATACAGTTCCCCTTGTCAGAGCAACGTTGTTTTAGATATGTTGCTCTCTGAACCGGGGAAGGCGTGCCTTTTCATTTTCTGTATTTTCTCATTCCTGCTTGGGGTGTGGCTTTGTCTACAAGATAGAGCTGGAAGATCAAAGTTGCGTTGTATTGAAGAATAGCTAATAATGGTTGACTCAAGTGGACTACAGGGGCTGACTTTTCAGAGCTGCTGTACCTTTTGCGGTGAGGTTGTTGGTAAACGCGCCACCCAAAGATGTGAATAATAACATGGTGTGATATTAGTAACTGCAACCATAGCAATAGCTGCTGTACATACTGTACAATGTCAAAGGATGAGATGCAAGGAACAGAGGAAGTGCGTAAGCTTAGCACAACTGAGTTCATTTTTTCTTGTTAAAATGTGAATTCAAAACAGTAACTCCGATCTGTATATGTTTATTAAATTGCTTACTTCGATATCCGAGGACAGTACATAGTAATTGTTCATCAAGCAAAAAGTGTTTTGTCTCTATTGCAAGCATTAAAAAAGAAAGAAAAAAAGAAATTAAGTATGAAGACTTCGAATGAGAAAAAAAAGCCCCCTTCCACTTAGTTGATCATCCTGCATTAATTTTGTCATTGAACTTGTAAAATCTATTGCTTTGTTTTTCAGAAAAATAAGCAACACTTATTGGACTTTTTTAAAAAAAAAAAGGTCCTATTGGGAGTCACTACCTATTGGACTAATTTTGGAAGTCACGGCCTGACCTGCTGGACTAATTTTGCACGTGAGGGTGAGGATTCTTAATTGCCACGAGTGCTTTATCAACCAAATAGAAGTGTTTGCATTTTGCCTGCACACGACCACGTCTCTTGGTGGCTCCCAGAGCCAACTCTGATTAATTGTACTGTATCACTAGCTGCCTTCGCTTCAATTAGGGTTTCTGTCCCAATTGGCAGACCATGAAAAAAATCAAAGCCACTCGTTAACTTAACCTCAAATGGTGTATCTGTTTCAATTGGCTAATATCTTCTAGTTCTGTGTTACCCAAATACTGGTACTTAGTAGGAAAGGATGCAACGATGGTTAATAACAAAACGGGAAAAATACAAGAATACCACTTTCCAAGAAGCTTCTCAGCCAATCTCCCTTCCTATACAAACACAGAAGTCATAAACATCAAGCCACATGATTTCACTCAGCCGTATGCTCCATGGATCGCTATAACCTTCTTGAATCTCAACAGCCTAACACCTCCCATCCCATGTACTAAAGCACCATTTAGTTTTACACACCAAGACCTGCCACTCAAATAGAATCAATCTGTCTGCCTTGTGATACATGTATACATCCAGTCCATTCATCCAGCGCCTCACCAGCACGATGTTTTATTTCATAAATTTCTTCTTTTCAACCAAAATGTCTTTTCTATCTCCACCAAAACATCGGAATCCCAAGGTGCTGAATAGCAACTCTGCTGCGGAAGGCGGCAAGGGAAGAGCACTGCTGGAATTCCCGAACCCACGTGCAAAATCCAAAACCCCAGGTGGTATTCCGGATGCTACTGGAAAGCTGGCGTCAGCTGCATGGTTGAGTAATGGGAGGAAGCCGACCAAGTTGTTAATGAATGTGAACCTGCAGAGTAGTTTGGGGCCAGTGCAGGTGGTGATGCCGCAGGAAGACAGCGTTGGGGATTTGATAAAGGCGGTTGTGGATATATATACGAGAGAGAAGAGGCGGCCCTTGTTGACAAGTAGTGATCATCGGATTTATGAGCTTCATTACTCGCAGTTTTGTCTGGAAGGTGAGGTTTTTAATTGGGCTAGCTTGAAATTATGTCACTGCCATGAATTATTTTTGTTTATTTGCATGAATGCCTTGTTTTTGCTGCATTATTTAGAGTATGGTTCAGATTATGGTGTGTGAATATTTTAAACATTAATTAGACGTCCTAAAAACCAAGAAATGTTGTGAGAAAAAAAAATAGAGAGAGAGAGAGACAGTGTGTGGTGCTCTCTGTAGGGGTTTGTTTGGAAGTGACAAGTTAAAACAGGGGGGCAAAATGCTTATCCATTACCAAGTCGTCTCTGTTTGGATTGTGGGTATCAAAGAACATTTTGAACTATGCCAATTTTACGAAATTAATGCTTTTTGGCAGACAGAAGCATAGCTAGTATGTAGAAAGTCGACTTAAGCTCATGATCGATGTTGTTTTCGTTTTAGCCATCAACCAATTCAACCATATTAGATTCATTTCTGTTTCTTTAGCGTTTCTTTTCCCCGTTTCTTTCGAAAAGGATAACAATTAGTGAACGCAATTCCTGTGAATTGCAGGATTGAAACCAGAGGAGAAGCTGAAGAATTTGGGATCGCGAAATTTCTTTCTCTGTCAAAGACCTAGCCATGCTGTGATCAGCATCAGTTCCTCTTGTTCGAACCAGGCTAAGGGAGGGACTCCATTTCCATTGACAAAGCTCATGGATTTCTTACTATAGTTCTTAGTATTTCCCAGCGTTAAATTGTCTACAAAACAAGAACGAAGAACTTGGAAATTTCAACCTCTACCAGGCGAATAAAATTTGCTAGACGTAAATGGTTGCTGTCTAGCTACATGTCTTTTATTAACCTCATATGAAACATGAAGCATATAAAACATAACCAAGCATTCCTATCCATTCTTCTATGCATATTCCGGAGAGAATGTGATATAAACAATGTGGGGAATTCAATTAGTGACATAAAAAACACCCTTAACATCTACCAATTAATGGATTCAAGTACACAAATTTCAGTGCTTAATTCTATCTTCCACAAAGACCCAATCTTTGTAGCCACAAATTAAGTAATAAGATCGCTAAAAGATCGAAAATGCTAGACAGCCGGACCACCACCAGTTTGATCAGACCAGGCATCGATTGTGTCATTATCCTTGAGGCCAAGATCATCCGCTGTGGCGGAGCATTTTACCTTAATCCCATTGAAAGTGAACCTTATGGCATCGTAGTCCAGTTTCAGATAATTGCAATACTCAAGCATCACATCACGAAGTGGACGACCCCGCTTGATCCTGAAGTAAACTTCGTGCTCATCCACCCTCTTAATCCTAATGATAACAGAGTTTTTATACGTTTCAACCTCCATCACTTTTCACTTTCAATCAATTGCCAAGAAAAAGTAAAGAGACAGATGATATCAGTAGAGCGTCAGTCGGGATAATATAAGAGCTAGCATGGCCTGTTTAGATACCCCAAGCTTTTTGGGAATGACAAGAGGCACGCACTCGATAGTAATTGGTTCGAACTTCAATTGATTGGAAAACTGAAGAGCATTATCACTAATTACTCAGAAGAAGAGAAGTAAGCCTAAAAGTTGAGTCTTGAATGATTTTAGACATATAACCCTCATCTGGTATGCGAAAATGTCTAGAGTAGATTTCCATCGAGAGTTGAGAATAGTAGGGAAAAAATTTTATCACTCCCGAATCTAATGCACAAGCCATAATGGAATGTCCATTCAGTTTTTAATATTCGTATAACCAATATTTTGATGTCCTTCTATGTCAAAATGAAATACAATAAATACAAATTTGACTCATTTACCCTGAATTAGTTTATAGGACATTACATATTTTGATACTTTTTGTGTTATTTATTCTATAATGATATTCATTCTTCAATTGTAATATTTGATTCATTCTAACGTTTAGATTTTTTATGTTAAAGTTTTGCATCTACTACCAAATATAACTAGCAATGTAAAATAACAATTATAATTTATTTTTAATAAAAAAATTATTACACAATTGTTCGAAAATCAAAGGTTTACTAGAAAAAGATATTTTAAACACAAGAAAATTCTTTGTTATGAAAAATTACATTCAAACATTAATTAGCTTACAAATAGATTAAGATATGGCAATATAAAGATAAACTTGACATTTTACTATTTTGACATTCTACAATGGAGGTCGAAAGAGTTTTCTCTAAATTTTTTTTTCTTATGTTGAAGAATAGCCTAATAGGATTCCAAAAATTTTTTTTGGAATGAGCATTTTAGAGAGAAAGGGTTTATCCACTTAAATGATTTATACCAAATAGTGGAATGAAACGGACAAATTTAAAAAGCACATCTTTTTCAGACCATTCTTACGCATCAAAAACTAAGGGATAGGGTAATAAAAATTTGTTCAGCAACTCTATAAAGATAAGATGGGTATTTAGAAAAATTGGAATAGGCTTCTTGCAAGTTTTTTTTTTTTTTTTTTTTTCCAAACGGTAACAAATTTCATTAATCAAAGAAAGGATTACATTGTTTGAGCAACTGCCCTTACATCAAGTGTGGCTAAACTAGTAAGCCAGATTGGGAAGGATTCCTTCCAACTAATTTCCTCAGACAAGCTAATGGCAAATTTTGCCAGCTTATGAGACACACTATTACCACCTCTTTTAACAAAAGAGAAGTAACAAACCTTAAAGGCTTGACATAACTCCAATACATCATGCAGGATGGTCCCTGCAGTTGGGTGATCCCCGTTCCTATCTGTAAGCAAATCCACCATTTGTTTACAATCAGATTGGATTTCCACTTTGTTCCACCCGCACTGTTTTGCCTTGATGACAGCTTCCCTGATGGCTAAAGCCTCCTCCACTGCTGGGATACCATTCCTTTGTTCACCACCTGCCCAAGCTCCTACTACCCTGCCATCCTCTCTTCTGGCCACAACTCCCCATCCTACTCTGCCTCCTTTAACCTCCAGGGCTGCATCAGTATTCAGTTTGACAACCCCCTGTGGAGGTGGAACCCATTTACTACTCCCATCCTCCTGTGTTTTCCTTGGTTCCGCTACCAATCCATCCCCATTTCTCACATCTTGATACTCAGACCACTCATTCACAGCTTTATTGACTATTCTTCCTGGACAGTTCCTTTCCTCATTAAATTGCACTTGGTTTCTGGATTTTCATATCTGCCATAGGATATTTACTGTTAAGGCAATGTGATTCCGTCCTCCTATTCTGTTCTGCACCTCCATCAGGCTATTCCACCAATGCCAAAAACTGTGCCTGTACTCCTTCAGACCATCCCAATCAATTGGAGCTGCCTTCCATATAAGCTCTGCATGACTACAAAAGAAAAACAAATGCTCCAATGTTTCTGTCATCTCCCCACAACACTTGCATCTATTCTCCCCTATCCCTATCCTACTCCTGATCACCTCATTGACTGACAGGACCCCATGCAAGCACTTCCAGAGAAAGTGTTTCAGCTTGTGTTTTATATCCAAATTCCATAGCACATTTCACACATTAGAGTGACATGCATTTCTACTATTACTGGCTTCTTGTGGTTCCCTCCTCCTCCCATCTCTTCTCATATCTCTAGCCAGCATATACCCAGTCTTGACTGAATACTGTCCAGATTTAGCCCACGGCCACACCAGTTTATCCTTCCCTCCACATAGGCTGATAGGGATTCCCTCAATCTTCTTGCAATCCTCCTCTCTAAACATAGATTCCATTACTACCTTGTTCCACTTTCCATCCTGGATCAGTTCATGAACCATCTGGACAGGACAATCTGCTGGCTTTGGAGAGACCACCATACCTGACCCTCCCCCTGGTAACCACCTATCCTTCCAAATATCCACTGTTCTACCATTCCCCACCCTCTTCCTAGTTCCTATCTCCAGTACCTCCCTTGCACTCAAAAGACTCTTCCATATCCAAGAGTCCCCAGCCCTTACCTGTGTCTGCCAAATGGAATTCCCTTTGAAATATTTCCCCCTCAACACCTTACTCATCAGCAGGTTAGGTTGTGTTAGAATCCTTCACAGCATCTTAGCCAACATAGCACTGTTGAAATCCTGCAAATCTCTGAATCCCAACCCCCCTTTCCCTTTAACTACAGCCAAACTCCCCCAGTTCACCCAGTGAGTCTTCCTCCTCCCTTCACTCTCCCCCCACCAAAACCTTGCCATTTCTCTACAAATTTCTTGACACAAGCTTTTAGGCAACCTACAGCAGTTCATAGCATATGCCGGCATAGCTACTATTACAGCCTTCAACAGAACCTCATTCCCAGCTTGACTCAATAATTTTTCCTTCCAGCCTTTAAGTTTCTCCAACACCCTAACCTTAATATAGTTGAAAACCTGCCTTTTGGATTTATCAATAACCATAGGTAGCCCCAGATACCTACTCTGATCCACCTGTTTCATCCCCCCTAGTAAGCCCAGAATCTCTTCCCGCTTACTCTCATCTGTATTCTTACTAAAGAACACAGATGATTTATCAGTATTGATCTTCTGTCCAGATGCTGTTTCATAAATTTCCAAGATTCTCCTTACCTGTCTTGTCTCTGTCAAATTTGCTCTACAAAATAGGAGAGTATCATCTGCAAAAAATAGGTGTGAAATAGCAGGGCTATCTTTAGCAATCTTTAAGCCTGACAAGCAGTGATTATTAACTGCCTGCTTAATCAGACATGACAGCCCTTCAGACACAAACACAAACAGGTATGGGGATAATGGATCTCCTTGCCTAATTCCTCTAGCAGGCCTAACCATACCCTTTTTCTCACCATTTACTTTAAAGGAATACACAACAGATGCCATGCATTTAAACATCCAGTTTATCCACATTGGGCAAAATCCCATTTTTTTCAGCATTTTGACCACAAAAGGCCATTCTACCCTGTCATAGGCCTTTGCCATATCTAATTTCAGAGCCATAAACTCATTAGATCCTGTTCTTCTTTGTTTTAAACAATGAATACTTTCATGAGCAATCACAATATTGTCAATTA